TGGCTTTGCTTATATGCATACGGCCAGTGTCCAGCGACACCACCCGCCCGACCCGCGCGAGCCGACCAAAGCCACCCCCGGGAAGAGACCTAGAGCGCCCACCCTGACTATACATTTTTGTATTACTTCTTTACATAACTTCTATACGTTCGATGGTGTTTCTATAAGGTATCAAAATATTCAATAAATGGAATTCTTGCGTTCCCATCATATTCCACTTCTCCAATTTGATTGAACTGAAGGTTAATAATTTGTGTTTCCACTTCATCATTGATGAATGGAATCGGATCTTTGAAAATGCATGATATATTATGCAATACTGCAGTTGCTACCACAATTGGCTCAACCAAATTAAAGTTCCACCTCATTCCAATAGCAAGTATAGGAAAGCGACGTTTCCAAACACCAAACGATCTCTCGACAACGTTTCTTGTCCTAATTAAGGACTCATTGTAGAGTATTTCCCCTCTTGTGGTTGGGTGATTTAATTTTGTTAGCAAGTATTTTTTTAGAGGATACCCACTGTCACCAACCAAAACAAGATCTTTCATATCTCCATTTTCAAATTGTGTTTTTAAGACTGAATTTCTAAAAATGTGGGCATCGTGTGTGCTACCTGGCCACCTGGCAACAATGTTTTCGAACTTCAGCTCTGCATCGCAAACTGTCTGTACATTCAATGAAAAGAATCCTTTCCTGTTGCGAAACAGCTCTGCTTCATTACCACCTACAAATTAAACAGAAAAACTAGAAATGGAAAAAAGATATTTGCAATTTATTTTATACCTGGAGATTGTAAACGAACATGAGTGCAATCAATAACACCTATGCACTTTGGAAATTTGCTGATTTTGTACATTTCAGCACAGACAGCCATTCTTCCAGCTTCGTTTTTTGGGAAATGAATGAATTCTCGCCTCAATGATGCAAGAGCTCGAGAAACTCTGCGCACCATTCTACATACAGTAGATTTATGCAACGCACTGAAATCACCACAAACTGTCAAAAACGATCCTGTTGCATAAAATCGAAGTGTAGTTAGTAACATCAGTTCGGGGGATGTAGCCTGATTTCTGAAAACATTATCAATCAAGTAAAAAAAACAAAAACAAAAAAAAACCATTGCTATTCAAAGCTAACTAATTAATATCACTTACCTGGTAGTACGATGAGTGATTGAATTTTTTATTTTCTCTAACACGAAGTTCACTGCATTCTTTGTCATTCTGAATCTATTGAAGAAGTCATCGTTATCCCATTCGTGAAAATGTTCCTGTCTGGTTCTAAAAACCCTTTCTTTGTTTATATGTAGAGCTACTAACTCAAGGAAATCTTTTCATCATCTGTTAATTCCTCTAAATAACTAGATAAAAATGCGTCCATTTCGATATATCTCAATATACGGTTAAACAACGCACAGGTTATATTAACAAATGAACGTTGTTCAGCTCTGAACCCTGTTTAACTCGAGCTCGACGACCGTTCAGATTTGATCGACGTTCATCACTTGATCTCGGATCAATAGAGATTGAAAAACGCCGATATTTGTGTCGAACTCCGTTCAGTACTGAACCAAGGTTAAACGAAGTTGGTGCAACGGGCCCTAATAAAAGATAATATATAATAAAAGATAAATATTATATATTATATAATATTAATATATTAATATTATATAATAATAATTTAGTGTAAAAGAAATAATAAAAATGTAATGTAAATTAAAATGATCTAAGAAACTAGATATAATAAAAACTGTTTAAAAATAATAATTTTTTCAGTCAGTCCGAGTCCACCCAAAAGCTGACAAAGGTGTAAAAGGACAAGTGGGCGCTCCGATGCCAGGCACAGTAACTGAAATAAGAGTCAAGCTCGGAACCAAAGTCAAACCCGGCGATGCACTTGTAGTTCTATCTGCGATGAAAATGGAAATGATAGTGCAATCACCACTGGAAGGCACCGTAAAATCAGTTAATGCCACTGTTGGACAAAAAGTAGAANGTAAAATCAGTTAATGCCATTGTCGGACAAAAAGTAGAAGGCGAAGATTTGCTTGTTTATATTGAAAAATAAAGCCATTCTCCCTTATATTGTTATAAATATTTACATTATTATTATTTTTCTAAAGTAATTACGATTTCACAATTCATAATTATGCCAACCATTTAAAAAAGAAAAAAATAATTTCTGCCTTATAGCTGTAAATTTGCATTACACTAATATATAATTGACATGTTCATTTCTAGAAATATCTAGCTAAGTAGTGAAAGAATAATAAAAAGAATTGATTTGGGGGAACAAATTGGCATGCAATATTATAGAAAGAAATCCATCATCCTATTTCATTGAGTTCATAAATTTTAAACTTTTGAATATAGTACTTTATAATTTAAAAGAAAGTACGATATGAATACACTGACCAGCTAAAGTCATTTGGCAATCTACTTCTCATCAAACTGGATTCAATTTTTAAAATTACACAACTACATATGGAAAGAAATTCTTGCGTTCTTTGGTGTCCCTCAAGGGGACAACTTATTTTCTCTTCTCTTAAACGTATACATCAATGTCCTAAGAACTTTTTGTAACTATACAATCCCATTTATTCTACCTATAATTGTCTCTCTATTTGGTCCTCTGGGCTAGATAAGAAATTGTTATTGTTTTAAAGATTGAAATTGTAAAGGAATATAAATATCTTGCATAACCTATCTTCACATTGTGTTTCAATTACCATTAATATCTACAATGAAACGGCCTTTGAACGAATGGCACGACTTAATTTCTTATAATTCTATTTCTCTTCCAGTGAAATTCAGACTGTTCAACTCAGTTTTGCCGCTCAATACTTTTTTATACCTCACAAGTATGGACTTAAACAATTAAAACTGCAATTCATGATTAGTCTTGATTAAATGGTTAATCAATCATGACATCAGCCTTGAACTTACTAAGGTCTAACGGCTAACCTATTATTTTTGACAGCAAATTGAAATTCAACTTGCACTTAGCCCAATATAACTCGGACATCCATAATAAGACTTACTAAACAATGACAGCAAATCCTTATTTCTAATTTGTACCTTCTGTCTTTGAATATTTTGATGGAGGTAATATAGTAAGCTATATATTGTAGTTATAGGTAGAATAAATGGGATTGTATAGTTAGAAAAAGTTTGTAGGACAAGATGTATACGTTTAAGAGAAGAGGCAATAAGTGGTCACCTTGAGGGACACCAAAGAACGCAAGAATTTCTTTCCATATGTAGTTGTGTAATTTTAAAAATTGAATCCAGTTTGATGAGAAGTAGATTGCCAAATGACTTTAGCTGGTCAGTGTATTCATATCGTACTTTCTTTTAAATTATAAAGTACTATATTCAAAAGTTTAAAATTTATGAACTCAATGAAATAGGATGATGGATTTCTTTCTATAATATTGCATGCCAATTTGTTCCCCCAAATCAATTCTTTTTATTATTCTTTCACTACTTAGCTAGATATTTCTAGAAATGAACATATCAATTATATATTAGTGTAATGCAAATTTACAGCTATAAGGCAGAAATTATTTTTTTCTTTTTTAAATGGTTGGCATAATTATAATTGTNCAGCTTCTCCGCAGTTCCCACAATTTTTAGTTTGACCAAATTTACTAACATGTCTGAATCTGAAGCATGAAAAACACATTAGTGGTCTAGGTTCAAGAGGCCTAACTTGCACAGAAAGAAAGTCGAAAGCCACTTTGTCCGGAAGTTCTGGTCTTTCAAAAGTCAATATTAGCATAGGGGTTGGAACCTTAATATTATTTTGTTTCCTAAATATACGTTGTACTTTTATAACGTGTTGTTTGGTTAGTTCTTTCTCAATTTCATCTTCATCACAGTTCAGAAACTCAGGGGCAGTTATGACTCCTTTCGTGTAAATGAGCGTTTTATGAAGATTGAATTTAATTGGAATGTCTTCAAGGGGTTTCATCCCATTCAGATTTAGAAAATCCTTTTCACAAGAGACATTCAATAAAACCGTACCATTTTTCAAAAATTTTACATTTACCTGGGGGCAAAAACTTTTTATAAATTTGCAAATTTTAAAAGGGCTGAAGTTATTAAACGTCTTTTTGGATGGATGATTTTCATCTGAACTCATCATTACATCCTTTGGGCCTACCCATTTTATCTTTTGTTTTGGAGATGTGTTGAGTCTGATATCGGGAGGTTCATGGTCAAAGTGCATAGTGTATGGCTCCATAAGGGAGACGAAATAAAATAGAAAAACTTTTTTTTTTAGATGAAAAGTATGTAGTTGATCTTAAAAATCGCTCAATATTCCTCAGCACAGAGCTGTCAAAGTCAATAATAGACAATAAAGGCAAATCAGAAGACAGCCAACAGAAACAATAAAGAAAACAATAAAGTCAGCTCCGGTTCGGAACTAGAGTCTGGAGAACTTGGATTGGGCAGTAGTAACACAAACGTAAATGGCCGAGCGGTGTCGACGATATACGAGCACAACGTGGGAAAACCCAATGTCCTGTACAGATGTTTTTTTAACTATGTATGTAAAATGCAATACATTTTTAAATATTTTTCTTAAGTTTGTTAAATGCATAATTTGCATGAACTGTTGTGTTAAATAAAATGGAGGAGAGAAATAGAGCGATCTCAGAATTTTGTCTCAATCAAAGCCAGAAGAGCGCACACTGCGCGAAAATTAATTGTAATTTGTTTTATGTACCTGTAATTAATTTTGTAATGTATGTATAGATGTAAAAATTTTTTAAACAAACAATTTGCTTAGTACATGGCGAAAATAAAATGACAAAAATAACGATCAATTATCGTAGGAATGTGTAGTAGTGTTTAGTGACCGTTACCCAATGATTTTTTGGAGATCGTGAGGTGCGGTCTGTTGGGACGTAGGTTTTCGAAAAATCGGTATGATTAAAAAAATAGAAATGATGAATAGTGGAGTGAGTGCGGTGTTCAATCCTTTTTAAAAAGGTAGTTCTTACTCACAGTAAGTTGTTTTGCAACGATCCGAATTTACGGCTCGTTGCAAAACTTACTGTGAGTAGGAACTACCTTTTTAAAAAGGAGTGATAAAGAAAATGTTTTTCTAAAACATCTCCAAATAATAATTATCGTAGGTTTTAAAATTATTTCAGAATTAAATTGGCCCCTATAATTTCCTTTTCCTGGGGAGTCGGTTTTTCAGTAATTGTATCGACTTTTTTCCTTTTTTTTTGTGTTGAAAACAATCGCCTCTGAGGAGATATTGCTCTTTTTTTAGATGGCACAGCCGACGTTGATGGTATTAATGAAATAGGTGATGATACTTGAAGTAGTTGGACTTTTAAAGTTTTTAGGTATTGTTGAACAATGTTCATTTGTTCCTCGGAGACGACTGTATTTATTAGGGAGGTGAATTCTGAAATAGTTTCCATTTTTTTATTTTCTAGTGCGTTAGGATTTTTATTATCGGATTTTCTTATATTGTTTAAAAGAATGTCTTTTTGAATGTCTTTTTCGTCATAATTGATACTGAGTTGTCATTTGGTAAATCGATTTCCAAATCATTATCTCGTTGGTTTCTAAAGGAAACCATCCTTACCAAATGTATGTGCTTGCACATATTAGATTTAATCGAGAAATCTAAGCAGGTACAAGAGAATTTGTGAATGCAGCATGCACATTCATGGCACGTNAGTTTGACAAAATTTACTAACATGTCTGAATCTGAAGCATGAAAAACACATTAGTGGTCTAGGTTCAAGAGGCCTAACTTGCACAGAAAGAAAGTCGAAAGCCACTTTGTCCGGAAGTTCTGGTCTTTCAAAAGTCAATATTAGCATAGGAGTTGGAACCTTAATATTATTTTGTTTCCTAAATATACGTTGTACTTTTATAACGTGTTGATTGGTTAGTTCTTTCTCAATTTCATCTTCATCACAGTTCAGTAACTCAGGGGCCGTTATGACTCCTTTCGTGTAATTGAGCGTTTTATGAAGATTTAATTGGAATGTCTTCAAGGGTTTTCATCCCATTCAGATTTAGAAAATCCTTTTCACAAGACATTCAATAAACCGTACCATTTTTCAAAAATTTTACATTTACCTGGGGGCAAAAAATTTTTATAAATTTGCAAATTTTAAAAGGGCTGAAGTTATTAAACGTCTTTTTGGATGGATGATTTTCATCTGAACTCATCATTACATACTTTGGGCCTACCCATTTAATCCTTACCAAATGTATGTGCTTGCACATATTAGATTTAATCGAGAAATCTAAGCAGGTACAAGAGAATTTGTGAATGCAGCATGCACATTCATGGCACTTCAGTTCGCACTGACAGCTCGCATTGGCTGGGGATACGATATATATATCTTTTCCTTTAGTCGAAGGTACAAGCCAATGCCCATTTTCTTCGATGATGTTTTCCTTAGACAAATTTTCCGATTTTTTATGGCGGTCCCTTAACGAGGTCATTCTGGCAGTAACTTTTCCTTTATTAAGGGTTATTAATCGCTCATAAGTTTTGTCTCGAATTAATTTAACAATAAATTGGATACCTTTATCTAGTCTTTTATTGTTTCTTCCTTTCATGTAACTATACTTTAACGTTTTATGCATACGTTCCAAATGCATGTTTGTATTTACACCGGCATACAGTCTACAACAATATGCCCAGCGTTTATATATGTCTTTCTTTGAGAACATTTGAAAATAAACTCCAAAGTCTTTAGTTTCAGGGTCCAAATTTAATTTCAACGAGAAACTGTCCAACATTAGACCAAAAGCTTTCTCATCTATTTCTTCTAATAAGGTTCTCAATCCCTTATAGACTTCGACCCGTTTTTCTTGATTTTTTATTTTAACCAAATTTTTCCTCCATGCTCTGTCGACGTGCCAACAACAATACAACCTATGGTCAACTGGAATCATAACGTTTAACCACGCATTGTAATAGTTGTCTGCCATGTCAGACATGAAAGTTTTTGGCTGGATCCTTATGTCAGCAAAAATTGTCTTAAAAAAATTGTCATTACTGTGGCGTCTGTTCTATTTGATATGAGGAATGCACACGGGAACCCCTGCTGTATTAATTAATATATTAATTCATCGAGTACCATTATGGTGGTTAGCTCAAAATCATACGCATTGGTCCCGTGCGTACCATCAATGCAAATGATGTTATTGCCAAACAATTTCAGTATTTCTTTTTGAGCATCCGTCATGAGAACTAAGGCGAAATCATTTACGTGAAGGGATGGATGCTCCTCACACAGCATACCTTGACTTTTATATAATCTCACGATTGTGTCGCCAGTCTCACACATTTCTTTCACCCAACAGTCAACGCTCTGTGCGTCATTTGCATGTCGGACCGAATCTTTGTTTAAATTAAAATCTCTTTCAATATTAAAAAGATCCTTGCGTGTAAGGAGATCTATTCGTTTCAAATTTTCATTAACCGAGGACCTCACTTCGTCTAAAATAGCATCGAATGGTATCTTAGCATTTATCTTCGATGCTATTTTAAGGCGATCTGATGTGGTCAGTGATAACCGCCCCAATTCACAATCATGGCCGACATGTGTTTTTGTGTATTTAACTTTAATTAATAATCCATTTTTTCGGCTTCCATGATTATGGCTGGACAAAAGCAGTTTATTTTGTTTGATCCTAGGCTTTTCATATGCCTTTTTCCCGTACCCTTGGGTTTATATTGTAATACCCACTTCTATGGCAACAATACTCTGTAATGTTTTTTTTTTTATGTGCGGTGATATACTTACTTTTTGTATCATTTTCTATTGTTTCTTTTCAGCTTTCAAATTCAGAAAGACTTGAAAAAGTATAGAATTCTGTTTCAATGTTAATGTCATGAAAATGCCTGAAATGGCCAATGTCTTCCTTTGTACCATTCTGGCAAATCGGACATATAAACTGCCTTTGTTGAAGGGAGCGGCAACCTTTTTTTTTGTGATTATTTAATTTATATTTTGTAGAAAATTTACTGCCACAATCTTGGCAAATAAGGTCCTGATCATTATTGTGCGAAAGTAAATGAGCATTTAGGTCTACTTTATTTTTATATTGTTTTTCACAGACGTTACATTCAAATTTTGGTCGCAATTCGTGGGTTTTTAAATGTTTTTTTAAAGAATAGGGTGTTGCCAGTTCTTTTTGGCAAATGGAGCATAAAAGTTTAATTTTCGATTCACATCGAAGGACCGACTCGGAGTATCCGTCGGGAGTATCGGAACTGTGTGACTCACGTTCCATCATTATAATCCGTATACAAGCCTGGGTCAAATCAAAAATATCAAACAGTAGCAGTTCAAATCACAATCAAACGTGCAAGCCAGAGACAATCCAAAAGTAATTAATCCAGTAGAATCGGAGAGCAAGTCTAAATCAACAGTATTGCTATTTCAACAAAATCAAAGCGTGACAAACAACTCGACTTGTGAATGCGCAATGAGCCAATCAGCCAAAGCCAATGCCCAATGTATCCCAGAATTGCGGCAAGGTTGGGGACCCTTGGTGGGGGAGCTCGGCTTGGTGGGGGTACTACTGCCCATCGAAGTTCTCACTTCTCGAGACGCTACTCTACTCGGTTCGGAGGGACACCACGTGGTCCTAACCTCTCGACCCACGTGGTCAGGGCGAGACGCGAATCTAGGTGAATTATTCGAAAAAATGCCTAAAATTAGTAAATTTAGCGATTGTACATATGGTAATTATAAATGTCAAATGTCGAGATGACGGATAACAAAAAAGAGATGATACTTATTGACCAAGACGATCTTAGTTTCAGCTCAAGGAGTGGTTGATAAAAAAAAGTTCTTAAAAGAATGTTTTTTGATCATTCCGGCTTTAAATACGGTTATAAATTATTAATTGAAAATAAATTCTCAATCCACGGATTCTGTTGTACAATGAAATACAGAAGCAATAAGTTTTTACTACAAATACAACTATTTCAGAGATTCACACCCTTTAAAAATACATAAACAAATAATCATATAATACACTAGTTTTGATGAAATAGCTAGATATTTTAATAATTTCCACTTTTAATAATAACGATCCAAAACTAACGGAAAAACGTTGGAAGTAAGAAAATCCATCGAGCCGTCTACGAGATGTAAGAGGAAAAAGCCGTTTTCTTCCCTTTTTCTCTTGTACTGAATGTTATGAAAAAAATTTTCAAAGTTTTCCATGGCTATGGTATATTACCCAATTAAGCCATTTAAAATGGCTTCGATACAATTTCCAATTAATATATTTTAACGGTTTTTACTGAGGAAAAAATACAAAAAAATTGATCTACTGTATGTAGTTTTATATATATAGTTTTCTCAATTCCGCTGCTAACCGTACGAACAAAGGCTCGTCCACTTCTTGCGTTCTGAGAACGTTTCCGAAAACATTTCATTTTTACCAATTTTTAATTCAATCGTTTTTAAACTTACTTAGGGCCCTACATTTCGTATTACGTCATCACATAATTTTCTATCTTTTTATTAATATCTTTAATTATTATTAATATAATTTAATGGTAATATTTTATTAATATAAGAAGAGCTGAGTAAAACTCAGAAAATCATTTTAACTATCTTCCTATTTAGTACGATTGAAAATTAACAGACAAAAGTTTTGAATAAGTACGAAATTCGACCGAGCCGTTAAGATAAAAGATGTAAACCGTCACAACGTCATGGGAGGCCGCTACGTAGCTGGACCGCTTCTGTCGGTTTTTCCCCCTACCTGGGTCCCAGCTGACAATACAATACTTGCCACCCCCTGATCTTATGAGGGGAAAAGTCGGAAAATTTTTTTGACTTCTTTCTCATATAGTACGATCCAAAACTAACAGAAAAACGTTGGAAGTAAGAAAATCCAACGAGCCATATACGAGATATAAGAGGAAAAGCGGAGGAAAACTCGGAAATTTTTTTTGACTTCTTTCTAATACAGCACGGTCCTAAACTAACAGAAAAACGTTGGAAGTAAGAAAATCCATCGAGCCGTCTACGAGATAGCGGAGGAAAAGTCGGAACATTTTTTTGACTTCTTTCTAATATAGTACGGTCCTAAACTAACAGAAAAACGTTGGAAGTAAGAAAATCCATCCAGCCGTCTAGGAGATATACGAGGATAAGCGGGGGAAAACTCGGAAAAATTTTTTCACTTGTTTCTCATATACTACGATCCAAAATGCGTACTAAATAGAGGACGGTTTATAAACATAATTGCATTTTTTTATTTTGAAAAACTGAAGTAATACAGTTATATACTACGATAAAATAAATATATTTGATGGGTGCAAAATCATGAATGAATTCTTGTAGTTTTTAAATTAAAAAAAAAGTTTAACTGATTTTTACAAAAGTAAAAATTCAGCCAACAGATCAACTGGCATTTCATGCTAGTGATGTCACCCATTTCATACGTATTTGGGTAGGTAGAAGAAAAACGTTGGAAGTAAAAAAATCCATCGAGCCTTCTAGGAGATATAAGAGGAAAAGCGGAGGAAAACTCGGAAAAATTTGTTGACTTCTTTCTAATATAGTACGGTCCTAAACTAACAGAAAAACGTTGGAAGTAAGAAAATCCATCGAGCCGTCTAAGAGATATAAGAGGAAAAGCGGAGGAAAACTCGGAAAAATTTTTTCACTTGTTTCTCATATAGTACGATCCAAAACTAACAGAAAAACGTTGGAAGTAAGAAAATCCAGCATGGTTTCCCACTATACTGTATTTGACGTTATTACTTGTTATTAAAATTTTGTTAGAAACACAATTAATGCCAACAAATGTATTAAAAAAATTGTATATATACACGGAGATATATGTAATGTTTTTTTAATGGGCGAGAATAGTCGTACGCAAAGTACAAGGAAAAATCGGGAAATTTCCCCGCTGCTGGAACCCTGGGCGGTCGTCGATATTTTAAACGCTCTTTCACCGCACGATGGATAATAATATTTTAAACGCCTGGTTGGGGTGTCCTTTTTTTTGTTGTCCTCGTGCAATTCCATCAGAGCTAGTTTGGTTGTAGATATTGATGGTAATTAAAAGACAAACATGGGGATACGTTACGCCAAGATATTTATATTATGTCTAATAACTGCTGTCTTACCTTCTGGTATAAAAAGAAACGATCTTTTTTCAAAATCATTTTCAATTTATCATTCTTTGGTTTGTTTTTTTAATAGATTGAAGATTTTTTGCAACATGTGTGGTCTATAGCAAGTTCCTTCGCAATTATTTATAATTACAGCGCAGAAATTTTTCCCACAGTGCTTAGAAACACCGGCCTCACATTAAGCAGCATGAGCGCAAGGTTTCGCGCAGCTTTGACACCACTTGTAACTCTTTTAATATGATGCCTTCACTGATTTTTCTATTTCTCAAGTAGACAAATATTTAGTTAGATTTATTTACAGGATCCTTTTGACAAAAGGGTCCCAACTGTTGTGTTTGCATTTGTGACACTCCTATCAGGACTTTTATTTTATTGCCTGAAACACAAGACCACTCGATACCGCAATCCCTCCAGGAGGGAGAGACCTTCGGCAACGGCGACACATTCTTCACAACTTGCCTCCCAATTTTCAAGAAAGACAAGAGTGATGATGAAGTTGAACGCTCAACCCCGGGGGACCGCGGTAGCCGAGTGGTTAGCATGAGAGACTCTCACGCCGCGGTCGTGGGTTCGATTCCCACCGTTGCCCCTGGCCCTTTTTTCCCAATAACCCCCCAGCTTTGAATACACATATACGATTTTGTCACATGGCTAATATGCATAGTTCATAACGCCAAAAAAAAAAAAAAAAAAAAAAAAAAAAAAAAAAAAAAAAAAACGCTCAACCCTAATCGAGGGACCAGGAACTCTTTTGTCCTTGTGTTCAAAACCCCCTTCAGTGTTGCTGTGATAATATTTGTGTTATATACTCCAATAATTGTTAATATGAATAATAAAAGTTATATTAATTTGACTATTATTTGATTTTCATGGAAAACTAATATTTTTCTAAGTTAGGATCCTGAGAAGTTTTATTGTTAATCTTATTTACAATGTAATGTCCAATTTTTTTTTTCCTTGTACATATTTTAGTGCATGACATCCCCCAACAACATGGCAAACATAACTTTGTAATAATTAAGAAGTTGGTGGAAGGATGTCATAGCACAGACTGGAGCGACGTGACGTTCCTCAGAAACTATGGAAAATTAGTCCTGCAATAATTACAAAGTTGCTCAAATAAATAAGAAAGTCAAAAGGTATCACAGACCAAGATGGAGTCATGGGATGTTTCCCACAAATAGAAAACAAAGTTGCAATAGTTGGACAACCGATCAAACAAATAACAAATGTCCGATTATTTAGTGCTGAAAGGTTATCATAAGGCGTCAAATATGTAGGGACATACTCGCCGTAAATCGGGATCGCATCAACCATGTGCCTGACACTTGTCTTTAAATTTTCCTTTGCACCCCATTATGATGATGATCCCATGCACTGCAGCCTTCTGGCTTGTACTTTCCTAGTTACCTAGTTCAGTGCCATCAACTCAATCCATCTACTCAGAAGTATTAGGTCTTTGACTGTTGTTGCAAAAATTTGATTCCCTAGGTTTTTTCTGTTTGCTAGGTTATGTCTCCATTGAGCCATTGATGATATGGGTGCCTCTTTCTTCCTCCTCATTACATAATATGCAGATGGGATCATCATTATTTATGATCATTTTAAGTAAATGTTTTCTCAGATGCCAGTGACCAGTTAATAGTTATCACTCCTCTGAGTGTAGCCCTTTTCTAATGCAGCAGTCAATTTGCCAGTCTTGGTGAGGGTTATTTTGTGGTAAGTTTATTGTGTTAGCCACTATATTTTATCCATTTTCCTTTTGTTTTATTTGGATCCATTCTGCAATGGATGGACTCTATTTGTTTTTGTGTTTTCATTTATTATCAACATTCTAATTGAAGGTTATTGCACAAGGACAAAATTCCCTGAACTTTCACTATGTTCAAGATTTTTTTAATCTCGTCATTTTTACAAATCTATTTGCCTAAAATTCAAATCATCCATTTTTAGAATGGTAGAACTGAACAATCGTAAACCATAAACCATTAGGAAAAATCATTTTGAATATAAAATCTACCCATGGCTAGATGTGGGGTCACAAAGCCAAAAAAATAAACTAAAGTCCAATAAATTGAAATAGAAAAATGCACATGTGATGAAATGATTACCATGTGATGAAAATTCATTT